GGGGTATTCTTAGTGGAGGAGGGGAAAGGTTTTTTGGGGCAAATGACACCAGCTCAAAATCTCTGAGAAGTTCCTAAAAAAAACAACTGTCTTGTCTTTGTAAAAAGATAGCTTTAGCTGAACATTAGAAAGCACGGCATATTCATGAGGGGGCTAGGAGGTAAACTGACCCAGCTTTGTTTGTGGACAGGGAGGAGTCCAGTGGTCTGTTTGTGGACAGGGAGGAGTCCAGTGGTCTGTTTGTGGACAGGGAGGAGTCCAGTGGTCTGTTTGTGGACAGGGAGGAGTCCAGTGGTCTGTTTGTGGACAGGGGGAGGAGTCCCAGTGAGGGTCTGTCTTTGTGGACAGGGAGGAGTCCAGTGGTCTGTTTGTGGACAGGGAGGAGTCCAGTGGTCTGTTTGTGGACAGGGAGGAGTCCAGTGGTCTGTTTGTGGACAGGGAGGAGTCCAGTGGTCTGTTTGTGGACAGGGAGGAGTCCAGTGGTCTGTTTGTGGACAGGGAGGAGTCCCAGTGGTCTGTTTGTGGACAGGGAGGAGTCCAGTGGTCTGTTTGTGGGACAGGGAGGAGTCCAGTCCAGTTTACACAAGTCCTAAACAAAAGCTCCATTGTTCTCCAGTTTCTATTTTCTCCAGAAGGAAAGAAGCTGGTCTGGCTGTACAGATCACACAGGTGGAGTCTACACTGCAGTCTGCATTGTCAGTACCCGAGCAGCTGAAGGACTCCAACATCTAACCGTCTACTAATCAGGCGTACTCTTGGAGCACCCACCTACACAAGACTCACCTCATCCATCTAGGACTGCTCACTAGAGAGCTTCTTCTACAGCCTCTGACCCATCACTTCCCTCCTCTGCTGGAGGCACTTTTATTAGGATCTATAGAGGGACAAACACTTGGCCTCGTATTGTCCATCAGAATCAAGGAAACAGCAGAGATCCGGCCCCACAGGGGAGGTAGGAAACATCAACGCTGCAACAAGGGATCTCCCACTCATCCAACCATCCCAACAGATGATTCATCATCAACAGAAATAGACGGAATTGTCACCTTCTCCTCAGCTGGACTGACATCGGGTAGATGGACCTTCTGGGGAAAGGTTGGGCTTTAGCCCTAAAGGTATCATGAAGAAGTTGTTTGTTGGCACAGGACTTGTATAGATGTCTCAGGAATATTAGATTGAAGGTACATTTATTCTTGGAGAGGCGATATTGAGGGATCATCTGTACTCACACCACTGAGTAGGTCTGTCTGAGGTTTACAGACAAAATGGAAGTTTCCACACCCCCACTACATATGCAGCAGCAGAAATGTTCCTTCATTTGGATGATATAGATGGTAAAGTATGACAGTCTATAATCAGGAACTCTGGGGTCATATCCTAATAATGGGACATTGAGGAGAAAGGTGCATTGCCATCATTAGCAGCAAGGGGAGATATAACACTGAATCCAGCTGATAAGGGGGGATGGGGGTGGTCATTATTGACACAGCATGTGATGACAATGAGACACTGGAGAGTGCAAAGTCCGGTGCAGCTCTGCATAGGAACCAATCAGCTTCCAGGTTTATGGTCAAAGCTTAATTGAACAAGCTGAAGTCAGAACCTGATTGGCTCCCATGCACAGCTGCCCCAGATTTTGCACACTCCAGTTTTAGTAAATCAGCCCCATTGTGTCCATCTGAGATGGTTTTGTGGCAGATCCCGGGTTGTGAGTTCCATTCAGTACAATGTCTTTGGGTTCTCTTGCTAGTTGACTGCCCCCTTGTTAGTTGAGGTGTTTGTAGTCATAGAGGTGTTGGGTCATGATGGAATGATGTTGTGTCAGGTGAATGGTAGGCTCTGACCTGGTTTTATCTGCCAGCTCTGTGTGTTGATTCGCTGAGTTTTCTATTGTTTGTTATGTCCATCCTTGGAATTAGGGAGGACAGTATGATGTTGGAGTGAGGACATTTTTGTTGTGCGGTCTGTTAGTTGTAATAGTTTATTCTCAGAGGCTTATGATGATATTGTTTGGGTCGGTGTGTATGATGATATGTTTGGGTCGGTGTGTATGATGATATGTTTGGGTCGGTGTGTATGATGATATGTTTGGGTCGGTGTGTGTATGATGATACGTTTGGGTCTGTGTGTATGATGATAAGTTTGGGTCGGTGTGTATGATGATATGTTTGGGTCGGTGTGTTATGATGATATGTTTGGGTCTGTGTGTTGATGATAAGTTTGGGTCGGTGTGTGTATGATGATATGTTTGGGTCGGTGTGTATGATGATACGTTTGGGTCGGTGTGTTATGATGATATGTTTGGGTCGGTGTGTATGATGATATGTTTTTGGGTTTCGGTGTGTTGATGATGATTGTTTGGGTCGGTGTGTATGATGATACGTTTGGGTCGGTGTGTATGATATGTTGTTTGGGTCGGTGTGTATGATGATACGTTTGGGTCGTGTGTGTATGATGATATGTTTGGGTCGGTGTGTATGATGATACGTTTGGGTCGGTGTGTTTGATGATATGTTTGGGTCGGTGTGTATGATGATATGTTTGGGTCGGGGTGGTGTATGATGATATGTTTGGGGTCGGTGTATGTATGATGATACGTTTGGGTCGTGTGTGTATGATGATACGTTTGGGTCGGTGTGTATGATGATACGTTTGGGTCGGTGTGTATGATGATATTTTTTGGGTCGGTGTGTATGATGATATGTTTGGGTCGTGTGTGTGTATGATGATATGTTTGGGTCGGTTGATGATATTGTTTGGGTCGGTGTGTATGATGATATGTTTGGGTCGGTGTGTATGATGATATGTTTGGGGTTGGTGAAATACGGATCATTTGATGACTCCTATCGCTTGTTCAGTTGTTGGACTTGAATTTTTGTTGTCTTGTTCCTGGGTAAGAGAGCCGTTTGGTGTTTAGATATTTCCCATTGGAGTCTATTATTAACAAAAAGAATCCGGGAGATTGTTGGCTGTTCTTGTGGTTTGATGATTGTTTGTTTGTAGGGATGGGCTTCATGTTCGAGTTGATCCTAAGTTTGATTTTTTGAACATAGGGGGCCGTTCGTGTGTTCAGCAAACATAAATAGTACGGGTGTTCAGTGGGCTGTTTGCTCACCATGCCCCACAATGCACTGCGCGCCCTGACAATGCATTGTGATTGACAAAGCAATGCACCTAACCACAAGTCAGGTGTAATAACTTTGACCAATCACACAGTGTAGTGGTGATGTCACAAGGGGGGCGGGGTATATATAAAAACTGTTGTCGGGCACCAGCTGTCAGACAGTTAGGAGCCAACATAGCAAGCAGAGCTTTTTTTCCCCTTTTTTGGGTAGCGATGGTGGTGGCAGCATCGTGATTGACGTTGGATCTACTTTGGGGGACATTTTTTACAATGTTTATTTTTTAATAAGGACTTTTCAAAGACTGACTCCTATCACTTTTTTATACTTTTTTTTGTGTGAATGGGTAGCAGTACCATATACCGCCTAACTCATTCACATAGGTGGGGGGGGCCAGGTTCTTAGGGTCCCCTTGTTAAAGGGGGGGCTTCCGGATTCCAATAAGCCCCCCAGGCTGCAGACACCCCCCACAAACCACAGGCTAAAAGTTGTGGGAAGAGGCCTTTGTTCCCCATCAATATGTGGACAAGGAGCTTTGGGGGGCTCCTGGCCAAAAGCACCCCCCCATGTTGAGAGCATGTGGCTGGTATGGTTCAGGAAGGGGGGCAGTTGCCCCCCCCCTTTCCTGACCTGCCCAGCTGCTTTCTTGGATAAGGGTCTGATATGAATTTTGTGGGGGACAATGGCATGGAGGGTTCCTCTCAAAATCCATACCAGACCCGAAGGGCTTGGTATGGATGAGAGGGGGGACAACAAGATGTTTTTTTTTAATTGTTGGGCTATGCTGACAATTCTTTTGACATTCAGCTGTCGGCAGGAAACCCCACTGACACCCAGGAACATGAATGAATGTCTCACTACTAAAAATACCGCGTGACTCCATCACATAACTCATGCCGGATATTAGTAACTGAGCGGTATCTTCATACTCAGATGCGGTAAGACATCTCTCAGTCCTTCGTGTTCGACATTCACTGTAGAACATTCTGTAGGTTCGGATGTTTGACCGCGACCTGAACAGGGGGTGTTCGGCCATCACTATTTGTGGTCTCAGGATTAGTAGAGTTGTCTTGGCTATTGCTGGTCTTTGTCTTGTTACATTTCGGAAGCTGATTGGTCTCACCGGTCTGTTGTTCCTTGATGGGTACTTTGTATAAATCATCCTCTTTGATTCTCTTTCCTGATTGTTGAGCTCCATTTGTATCTTTGGTGTCATTATCTCTTCCCTCAGTTGAGTGTTTTCTTGTTGCAATTGTTACATTTTAGATCAAATGTCTAGGATAGATCTGTGGGGGTATTAGTGTTTTTAGCTCTTCTCTCAGCTGCTCATTTACATTTTTCTCTCACCTGAGGGTGTGGGGTTCTTGACTGATGTAATGGGGGGGGTGAGGTGCTCTGGACATCTACTCTTACAATTACAACTGGCCATTGAATCTGACAACCATAATGCTGACACAGCCTGCGATGATATATAAGATATATATAATAATAATCATTAAAAAATAAAAAACAACTTTAGCCCTTTATATAGAATTCTGATTTTTATTTTTTGTCTGTACAGGTGGATTGATGAACCACGTTTTTCGGTCATGCTGGTCTTCGTGAATACAAACCAAACATCTGGGTGTCTTAATTGACTGAAAGGTTTTATTGCAGTTCATTGGAGGAGTCACAGGACGCAAGTCATATCCGTGTTCTAAATGTCATAAGGGCTTTGGGTCCTCTTCAACACTGATCCAACCTCAGAGGACAACATGAGAAAAGTCATTTCAGTGTTCTGGAAGTGACAATTGCTTTACAGTAAAGTCCAACCCATGTATACATAAGAGGAGTCATTTCAAGCTATTTCTTGTTTTGGAACGTGACAAAGATTTTACAATGGAGGCAAACACATATCACACACCAGAAGGTTACACTGGAGGAAGCCATATCAGTGTTCTGAATGTGACAAAGCTTTTACATGGAAAGTCACATCTTATCATACACCAGAGGATTCACACTGGAGAGAAGTCATATCAGTGTTCTGAATGTGACAAAGCTTTTACACAGAAGTCACATCTTATAGCACACCAGGGGGATTCACACTGGAGAGAAGTCATATCAGTGTTCTGAATGTAACAAAGCTTTTATATGGAAGTCATCTTATCAGACATCAGAGGATCCACACTGGAGAGAAGCCATATCAGTGTTCTGAATGTGACAAAGCTTTTACACAGAAGTCAGATCTTATAGCACACCAGAGGGATTCCACACTGGAGAGAAGCATATCAGTGTTCTAAATGTGATCAAACTTTTACACGGATGGGGATTACCTTGTCTTACATGACAGGGTTCATACTGGAGAGAAGCCATATCAATGTTCTGAATGTGACAAAGCTTTTACACACAAGTCAATCTTATCAGCACACCAGAGGATTCACACTGGAGAGAAGTCATATCAGTGTACAGAATGTGACAATGCTTTTACACAGAAGTCACATCTTATCATACACCAGAGGATTCACACTGGAGAGAAGTCATATCAGTGCATGTTCTGAATGTCACAAAGGTTTTACAGAAGTCAATGTTATCAGACACCAGAGGATTCACACTGGAGAGAAACCATATCAGTGTTCTGAATGTGACAAAACTTTTTACAACCAAGTCAAGAGCTTATCATACACACAAGAGGGTCCACACTGGAGAGAAGCCATATCAGTGTTCAGAATGTGACAAAGCTTTTACACGGATGTCATATCTTATCATACACCAGAGGATCCACACTGGAGAGAAGCCATATCAATGTTCTGAATGTGAAAAAGCTTTTACATGGAAGTCACATCTTATCACACACCAAAGGATCCACACTGGAGAGAAGCCATATCAATGTTCAGAAGATAAAATGTGAAAAAGCTTTTAGTTTTACACGGATGGCACATCTTATCAACACACCAGAGGACCCACACTCGAGAGAAGCCATATCAATGTTCAGAATGTGACAAAGCTTTTACATGTAATGCCAAGCTTATCTGTCACCAGAGGATTCACAAGCTTGAGCTGCATAAATGAAAATCCAGAAGAAGGGGCAATATTAAAGAAGTTGAAGCTGTCTCATTAGGTTCACAGGCCCAATGTCTTCCCACAAACTACGGAAGACATAAAAAGCTAATGCTGCTTAAAAAAAAAAACTTTGAACAAACAGGAATCTAATGATCGGATTCATTGGGTTTAGTGCTTATGTCCATCATAAACACATCTAGAAGGCCTGTGAATATTTTACCTTTGGACATTTTTTCAGACAAGCAGCAATGACTGAACTGTATTCCTCATCATTCTCATCTTTATCCTTTTTTATGGAGCATTGACTGAACATGTAATGCATTTTCATCATTCACTAACTGAGCTATGTTCCCATGTGTTTTCTTCATTGCCAGAATCTGACCAACAATGCCTCAGTACCAGAGTCTAGGATGGGGTCCAATGGCTTCTTGCCAAGCCTCTGAAACCTCATTAGGAGAGTCCATTCCAGGTTCTTTTGAGAATTGATACATCATAAGCTAGGCTTGAGGGCTCCAGCTAAGCCCACCTTGTCCCACACCTCCCATTACATGTTCCACCTCCTCTCCCATGATCAATGCCTCCTTTCCATGTTCCATCTCCTCTCATGGATGACAGCTTTGCAGGCAGTCTGTAGCTGAGATACCAGCCAGATAGAGGTCTCTGTTTGGTTAGAGAGTAACTTCTTAAGCTGGTGTAGGCCTTCCAACACGGAGTTAATGCTGTTTTAGGGGACATATTCAACAGTACCACCTAATCCCAGCTGGCCACTTATGTTTCATCTGGTTTTCTCAAAAGGGATTCTATCAGGTGAAGATTGGATGTCCTTGTTATCTTTTTTTTTTTTGTCCAGCTATTGCTCATCTCCATAAACTATTCACACGGTACAACTGCAAGAGATCTGAACTTACAAAGTGCTAAGTGTGCGGTCATATTCCTACCACTTCTTCTGGGAGACTGAAATTCCTCTTATTGGGGGTTCACCTTAATGACTCTGAATGAACGGGTCCCTTTTTGGGGCAAAGTGTGCAAAGAGCACTAATTATTCCTGGAAATGCTAAGACATCGACACTAAAGTGTAACAATGGGCAAAATCAATAATTACATAAATGGTGCAATCTGTCATTAGCATAAACGTTTTTATGTTTTTCCAAGTCTCCCCTTGTAACATTTTTATTACCTGTTGACCCTCCCAGTAGATCTGTTTTTTTCTGCTTCGTGTAGAAGGCCAAGCTTTTTGGCAAAAAATGAAAATTGGGGGGGTTGGGAAACACCATATAAGACTGCTGGGGTGCTTACACAACTGTCAACTTCCATTCATATGGTGGGTTGAACCTTATAGAATACCTGTTGTAGTAACTGCTGTAGAAGTGTTAGCTGAAGTTGGACTTTACTTGTTGTGTGTGCCCCCCCCCCAACTTATAATAATCTATCTAAGACTTCCCTGTACAGGGTGACAACGCTGCTGCTGTGTAATGTTCCTGCAGAATGATCAGGGTTGTCACCCTGTTACAGAAGGTGGGAAAATAACAGATCTACAGACAGGACCAACAGCTGATACAACTATGTTGCAGAGGGAACTCTGGGAATGCTAATGACAGATTGCATTACACATTCAGTTAGCAGACTTCCTGCTGTTGGTCTTCTGTTTGAATTGTGTTCTGATATTTACTGTCCTGCTGTAAAAGGTGTAAATGATTGCCCACATGTTTCCTGTATAGCAGGGACTACAAACTCATATCAGGAATAGTAGGATGGGTACTTACCCAAGGGGATCACCTTTTTGGATTTGGAAGAAACATTTCACATGGTTTCTTTTCCATTAATGACACCAACAAGGGGAGTCTCACTTACTTCACTAACAATAGGAGAGCCAATCACAGGCCAGTAACATTTCATGGTTTCTCAATGTAATTTTGCAGAATGTTTAATCCCCATTGGTCCAATGGATTCCTAGTCCTTCCAGATAACATTTGCTTCTTGTGTGGAAGGAGCACCCTAAAATGGCTTCCCTTCAATTGCACCCATAGATGTACATTAGGTTATTTTGCCCCCCCCCCCCCCCATATCTGTAAGGGGAAAGCCTCAATTTCTCCCAATACTCTACTGGCCTTCCATTGAGAAGAAACATTTTCTATGGATTGGAGATGCTTTATGCAGTGAGCCCTTCATAGACGGGATGGGGAATCTAAGATAAGTAAGATGAACCGTGTGTACTGGAGTCATGGATCAGATAACCAATGACACCATTGATGTTATATAGCAGAGCTGACAGCAGAAGTGGCTCCACCACCTAAGATGGTGTCACAGAACTGCTTAACAGCTTACTATCTTTGGAAGACCAAGGTGGAGTCTACAAATGGTGTCAGATGGAGAGTGTTGTACGTTTATATTAGATCATGAGGATCTCAGAAGGGGATATCTACACAAGGATAAAGGAGTTCCAACAGGAACCTGGGTGGGAGGAGGTGGGATCCAATGTTTTGGGTGGGTTTAGTTGGAACCTGGTTGAGTAATATGGTGGGTTTGCTTCTTAAGCCATTAGTTGCTACCATAGTTTTGATTTTGAAATGTTATATATTGATGTATTTTCTTTCACTGCCAGAGTTTATTTTGCTTTTGTTTTTAGTTAAATTCATATTTTAGGCCATATGATTAGTTAAACCCCAAACATTTCTTTTATATTATCTGAAAGCAGAGACTGGAGAATATAATGGTGGTAGTTGCCATTTTTCATGTCACAGAATATTAGTACAGCTGTTTATCAAATACATATTTTCTGTAAAAAAAAGATAATGTTAGTGCACAAAGAACACAATATATGACCCAATTTGTTTGGTGAAATATAAAATATGGGGTTGTCATCAAGTATATAGATCCCAAACATGTCAAACTTTACAAACTGCGTACTTGTGAAATGGTGACAAACTTCAGAACCAAAAATTGTTCAAAGTTGACGCTTTAAGAGCCTTTATAGGTTATCAGTTCAGATAGTTATCCCGTGAACGATGGCCTCAGAATGATTGTTCTCACTCTCACTTGTGCAATGATATATAAAATGTGTCGTGTGATTTGTTTTGTGTTTTTTTTTATTTTTATATAGTGTTACTTAAATTTTTTTCAACTCTTTTTTCACTTAACATGGCTTCTATCAGATAGGGGTTGATACATATTTCTGGTCACAGATCCTCTTTAAAGAGACGTCAGAACATTATTAGAACCCTAATGTCACCTCTGTACCCCAAAAAAGATGGTCAAGAACAGATCATGCCTAATCAGCTCCTTCCCAAACCATAGTGACTGGAGAATGACAGCGATGAACCCAGAAATGACATAATCTCCCACCTCCCACATTCATTCACTGAAGGGAGAGAGATCAGATGTTTGCTGATCTCCTGCTCTCTCACGCTGACACCCACCATGTCTGTCTTGGGCTTGCAGGAGGGACAGCTGAGCCCAGTATACCTGGTGGGGGGAGGACCTTCAGTGCGGCTGAACCACTTCTACCAGAAATCTGACAGTTGGCCTAACAAATGTAGACAACCCCCGGGTGCTGTAGCTATAAGGCCGTGCTGCTGCTGATGGAAACCTTACGTTGGCCGGAGTGAAAGGGTTCCACTAATGTACATCTGCCAAATCTGTATCTGAGGAGACCATAGAAGCAGCATTAGAAAGAAATGTGAGCATGGCTTCAGTCAGGCGATGGTCCTGGTGGTCATGGTCTTGTTCTCCTTCAGGTCCTCTTACCTTGTAGATGGTGACATGGACTTGTTGTGTGGGAATGAGTAGGAGGGGCTCGGGGTTCTCTTGTACCCAATCAGCTTGTTATGGATAAAAGATGAAAGTGTCTTCTGGGAATTTCCAGGGATTTGGATGTTTAGAGGGTCACATAAGTGGGGGGCTGGATATTAATGAGGGGCATGTCATATGTTAATCAGTTTTATTAGCATAGCTGAGATCCTTGAAAAATAAAACAATCTATCTCTCTTTTCTTCTGTTGTTAAAGTGTCACATATATATGACACTTTAAGTTGAATTATAATTTCATCACACAATACCGTGGTATGGTTTCTTCTACAACACTTCCCCCCAAAAATGTCCTCTTCCAGTTATAGGGGTCTGGTGGAATGGGACACCAGCTGATTGTGTCTCTTAGGCCCCTTGTACATGGGGGGGTCCAGCCCCTGTGGGTTCAATGATGGCATTATAATACACCTGGTAGGCACAGGTACAGCGTCCAGCCCCGCTGCCTGCAGCCTGTCAAAGTCTACACTACAGCTGGACGGGGCTCAATGCTGCACCACGTTTACCTCGTGTTTAGGGCGCTCCGTGTTCAGGGAGAAATGACCGCCATCCTGATCAGACGAAGCATAAAGAATAATGCTACCACCTCCCCCTCACTCCCCCTCTCTGTTGGGGGTCCCTTAAGGCTCCATCCTCGGCCAAGGGAGGAGGTGTAGATGGAGAAGAGAAGGGGTCCAACTCATACACTCTCACGGCTCCAACTACCACCTCTATGCCGACGACACACAAATCTATCTCTCAACCCCCCAACTCACCCCCTCGGTCTCCGCCCGAATCACACACCTACTGAGCGACATATCAGACTGGATGTCGCTCCACTTCCTTAAACTGAACCTCTCCAAAACCGTGTTTCCCAGCCCGGACACCACCCCCCATTGACTTCTCTATCACATCTAACAACTCCACCATCAAACCCACCCCGCAGGCCAGAGTACTTGGTGTCATTCTGGACTCCAACCTATCCTTCCAGCCCCAAGTCCAATCTTTTAACAAACTCGTGCAGACTCCACCTCCGCAACATCGCCAAAATCCGCACGTTCCTAAACCCCAGAAACCACTAAACAGCTCATCCACTCCCTCATCATATCACGACTCGACTACTGCAACTCCCTCCTCACTGGCCTGCCTTGCCACTGGCTATCCCCGCTTCAGTCCATCCTGAATACGGCAGCCAGACTCATTCACCTTTCCAACGGCTCCATTTACGCCACCCCCCTCTGCCAATCCCTCCACTGGCTTCTGATTGCACAACGGATGAAATTCAAAATTCTTACACTGACATACAAAGCTGTCCACCATACTGCCCCGAACTACATCATCACCGACCTAATATCCAAGTACCGCCCAACACGCACACTCCGCTCCTCACAAGACCTCCTTCTCTCTAGTTCCCTGGTCTCCTCCTCCCATGCCAGCCTCCAGGACTTCTCTAGACACACTAGAGGATAAATTGTTAGCAGTTCTGATGTTTTATGATTTTTATTATTTTACACAATATTAGTGCAATGATTTATGAAAGGTACAATTTCAGTTAAAAACACAGTAAAGTTAATTTCTGGGACATAAATGTAATTTATTATCTAAGGTTTCAGTAAAATATAAAAGATACATTTCCCCGCACTGAATATAATGGGATCCCACATAACAGTCGCTGTTCATATTCAGAATTCCTTCCTTACAATGGGATCTTGTGTCCGGATAAAATCTTTTATAGATCCCTTGTGACATTGTGTTCTCATTGTAAAATCCTAGATTTGTAAATCTGTCGCTGATATTTATAATGGTTTTGTCCAGAAAAAGAATGGAGTGATGTGGAGAGATGGAAACATATGTATAGATGAAAGATTGGTCTGTTGACTCCCCAGAGCTCCTTTCCATGAGAGATGTTTGTTTCCCCCCCAGAGCTGAACAATGGTACGTTCCTGAATGGCCAGGCTGCTGGTTTGTTGAATCCAGAGTCTACATACAAGATGCCTCCACAGTGTACATTGATGGGGCTGGGAAGGCTGGTACATGTTGTTCATTTGCTCCGGGTGCAGGAGATAGGACAGAATCCCATTGTTGCCGGGGTGTCCTCGCTTTCCTCAATTCTGTACTCACTTCATTTACAAAAGCAAACTATGTGAGTGGAGAAGGTGATTGTATCCGGCTGGAGCTCAGACCTGACAGGGACTCGGGATTTTGGGCCTCTTACGTCTAAGACAAATATAGTCTGAGTTGGAGAGAAGATAAAATATCATTTCTTCTCAGAGACATTCTGAGGGGTTTTCCACAATTTGTAATTGCTGACAATTCTTTTGTGGACATTCAGCTGTCAGTGGGGAAACCTGCCGACAGATGAGGAGTCATCGGTTAGGGGTGTGACCGCCTGATTTCCAGCCAATCATTAACAACCAGATATATTTCACACAGAATTCAGATCAGTCCATCAATTGTCAACAGATGAGAATTCAGAGAAAGCTCCACCCTCATTCCTTCTCCACCAATCAAGGATCTCACTCCAGTTAGCCAGTCACCATGGGCATGATTTCCTTGACATCCATCATTGGTGTCAGTGAGATAAAAATAAGCCCCATTGTTGGTGTCAGTGAGATAAAATAAGCCCCATTGTTGGTGTCAGTGAGATAAAATAGCCCCATTGTTGGTGTCAGTGAGCCCCATTGTTGGTGTCAGTGAGATAAAATAAGCCCCATTGTTGGTGTCAGTGAGAACAAAGTGTACCCCCAGCCCAGCATTGGTGGTCAGTGGTGGTACCACCCTCCCGCTGCCTCTCTGCTGATGTCAGAATTATACTTTCACTGTAGGAAAGGAGATGCCGGCTCCCAGCAGTCGGGTATAATTGCAGTGCCTGGTGATGGAACCCAGAGAGTGTTCCGGAGTCATCACCTCACTGCCACTCTGAAGAGTCCTGGAACCTGCCAGACATGGACATGAACATTGGAGAACACTTGGAAACAACAACAAGGTTCAAACTATGAGACATTTCTTAGAGCTGCAGTTCCTCTGAGTTCCACCAGGTGGTGATCTCCCCAGGAAGTGATGTCAGGTACAGACAGGAAGTGATGTCAGGTACAGACGGGAAGTGATGTCAGGTACAGATGGGAAGGGATGTCAGGTACAGACAGGAAGCTCTGGGTGAGAGGTGAGTTGGGGGAGGAAGTAGAGAGGAGACATTGCCACCTGATGCTGGCTGCTGGGAAGGTATATAATCCCCCCGTAGTTTTCATCAGTGCCTCAGTGGTCTGCCTGTGAGCCTCTTCCCTGCTGGATCCTGTATCTTGTATACTTTTCCCTGATTCTGGTTTCCTGCATCCTGTTCCCCCATCTCTGCTCCCCTGATTCCCAGTCCCAGTCCTGGGTCTGCCCGGTGTATGTCAGCTTCCCTCCATTTGTACACAGTGTATTATAGTCAGGTTGTTGGGTTGGTTATTTGCTGTCACATTTATTTGTCACTTTTGCTTTGTCTACGGTCTGTGGGTGTCAGAGGGTGTCGTGTCCATTAGTAAATGAGACTTAAAGCTATTGTAAAGACAATTGTGTTTCTTTTAAAACAAACAATGGCCCCTGCTTCTGTCTCAGCCAATGAGGAGGGAGAATCCCCAGACTGCCAAGGATCTTGTGCACATCGCTGGATCAGGGTGGGGCTCAAGGGAGTATCGGGGGGGTTGCTGCACAGAGGACTGTATATCACAAAATCCTGACCAATGTACTATGCATGCTGGGCAGTATATGACATACTCCTGACCACTTCGCTCTGTACACAGGCCTAAGATATAATCCTGACCACTGCACTCTGTACATAGGACTGTATATGATATACTCCTGAATACTGCACTCTGTACACAGGCCTAAGATATAAACCTGACCACTACACTCTGTACACAGAGCTGTATATGATATACTCCTTACCACTGCACTCTACACAGAGCTGTATATGACCTGTTCCTGACCAGTGTACTCTGTACAAAGACCTAAGATATACTCATGACCACTGCACTCTGTACACAGAGCTGTATATTATATGCTCCTGCCCACTGCACTCTGTATGATGGGCTGTATGCGACATGCTCCTGACCAATGCACTCTTTTTGCTGAGGCTGTATAAGACATGATCTTACCCACTGTGCGCTGTACATCACATACTACATCTGACTACTTCACTCTGGAAATATCATATACTCCTGACCACTACATTCTGTATTCTGGGATGGAAATCACATACTTCTGACCACTACACTCTGTACTCTGGGATGGAAATCACATACTCCTGACCCCTGCACTCTGTACTGGGATGGAAATCACATACTCCTGACCACTACACTCTGTACTCTGGGATGGAAATCACATACTCCTGACCACTACACTCTGTACTCTGGGATGAAATCACATACTCCTGACCACTACACTCTGTACTCTGGGATGTAAATCACATACTCCTGACCACTACACTCTGTACTCTGGGATGGAAATCACATACTCCTGACCACTACACTCTGTACTCTGGGATGGACCAATCACATACTCCATACTCTGTACCTGGGATGACCATACTCCTACCACTACACTCTGTACTCTGGGATGGATGTGACCAACTCACTCTGGGATGGAAATCACATACTCCTGACCACTACACTCTGTACTCCTGGAAACCACTGACCACACTCTGTACTCTGGGATGTAAATCACATACTCCTGACCACTGCACTCTGTACTCTGGGATGGAAATCACATACTCCTGACCACTGCACTCTGTACTCTGGGATGGAAATCACATACTCCTGACCACTACACTCTGTACTCTGGGATGGAAATCACATATACTCCTGACCACTGACCACACTCTGTACTCTGGGATGGAAATCACATACTCCTGACCACTACACTACACTCTGTACTCTGGGATGGAAATCACCTGACCACTGACCACTGCATGTTGTTTGCACGTTGTTTGCAGGGCTGTATGAAGTAGTCTCCTGACCCCTGCACTCTGGGCCATTATTCATGGTGAACCAGAAACTGGATGACCTGTAAAGGCTTGTAAAGTGTCTTCTGTGAGAAATGTTTGGGCCCCAAAGATCCCCATCATGGGCCCCGACACACACAATTCTTTTCACTCAATAAATTCTTTATTATAGTTTTACTTCTAACAAGATTGTAATCATAGAATCAGGAAATAACAAAGGAAGGAATCAGATTGGTCAGGAAGATCCCTTGTCTGGAATGTGGGGGCGGAGTCATTATTATTGGTGTACAATACATACATAACGTGTTCCATTATTATAACAAAGTATTGTAGAAAAGATCCCAACATGTGACATGGCTGAATGAATGCTGGTCATATTAGTTCATCTATTCTCTAAGTGGGGTGGTATCTATTGGGCCAATCCCTTTTACAAACCACATAATATCGCCCTTCAAAGTGAAAACAGAAACGATTTGCACAAAATCAAAGAGTAGAAATATTTTCTGGTGGATCCCCTCTACCCAGACCCCATATGTAGACATAGAACAACAAGCTGTGTTCCCTCTCGTGCCGCACTCCTCCAACCACCCCAAACCCACACAGAAGCCAAGGGAAATAATGAGAGGAAAGTTCCCCCCTAGTTTGGGGCGGAGTTCTCCTTCCCTCCTGTTGGGGGATGGGAGAAGGATGGACTGAAGACAGAGAGACGCTTCGGGGTCACCACTGTTCTGTAGAGCCTTGAAATGAAGGACATCAACTTCAGAAGTTCTTGTTGTCTGTGTAAAGTTCCCCGATAACGAGATCTGGGCTCTCCCGGCTTCTAGCTCTGTAACCCGCTATATCATTATCAGGAAACGCAACTCCGACACCCAAGAAGGGCTGAAGTTGTGTCCTTCATTTCCAGGATCTACTGACCACTCTGCACCCCGACATTTACTGCACTTCATCCATGTCTTTGGGGGCCTCTCATCTCCTTATCAACTGTTTCTTCCATGATGAAGATCAGCCATGGAGTATATCTGAGGTGTGTATATCAGGGTGTGCTTCTTCCCCACATGAGAGCTGGGATGTCCAGCAACATTCATCTAGAAGACATTTCCCGCACTCAAGGCACTAATACACCTCCAGGGTTGTGTGGGACCCCTGATGTACAGGAAGACAGGACTTCAGTGAGGAACATTTCCCTCACTTAGGACAAGAATACGGCTTCTCCCCTGTGTGAGATCTCTGTCGTTTGTAAAGATTGGACTTCTGTGAAAAACATTTCCCGCATTCAGGACAGGAATACGGCTTCTCCCCAGTGTGAGATCTCTGATGTGTGTGTGAAGCCTGACCTTGTATAAAAAACATTTCTCGCACTCTGGACAGGAATACAGCTTCTCCGCTGTGTGAAATTTCTGATGTCTGCGAAGATTAGTCTTCTGTGAAAAACATTTCCCGCACTGAGGACAGGAATACGGCTTCTCCCTCATGTGAGATCTCTTGTGTCTATGAAGACTGGACGTATCTGAAAAACGTTTCCGGCACTCAGGACAGGAATATGGCTTCTCCCCCGTGTGAGTTCTCTGATGTATATAATAATCGGACTTCAGTGAAAAACATTTCCCACACTCAGGATAGGAATACGGCTTTTCCACCGTGTGAGATCTCTGATGTGTGTAAGGACTGGACTTCTGTGAAAAACTTTTCCCACACTAAGGACAGGATAAGGCTTCTCACCTCTATGAGATCTCAGATGCTGGTAAAGACTGGACTTCATTGAAATAATATCCTGCACTCAAAACAGGAATACGGCTTCTCCCGCGTGAGATCTTTGATGTGTGTAAAGACTGGACTTCACTGAAAAACACTTTCCACACTCAGAACAGGAATATGGCTTCTTCTCCCCTGTGTGAGATCTCTGATGTTTGTAAAGATTGGACTTCTGTGAAAAACATTTCCCGCACTCAGGACAGGAATGCGGCTTCTCACCTGTGTGAGACCTTTCATGTTTGACAAGGTCTGATTTTTTGTGCAAAACATTTCCCACACTCAGGACAGGAATACGGCTTCTCCCCTGTGTGAGTACTTTTATGCACATTAAGATTTGATTTATAGGGGAAACATTTCCCACACTCAGGACAGGAATATGGCTTCTCCCCTGTGTGAGATCTTTCATGTCTGTAAAGATGAAACTTCACTGAAAAACATTTCCCCACACTCTGGACAGGAATACGGCTTCTCCCCCGTGTGAGATCTATTATGCTCATTAAGACGGGATCTATAATGGAAACCCTTCCCACACTTAGTACAGGAGAACTTCTTCCCTGTTGGAAGTCCGGCCCAGTCCCGCACAGTCTGAGGTTCCTCAGGATACAAGGAATCCGATGGTCCATCTACACTGGGTGGTGCCGGATGGACATTGGAGGGAGCCGGGTTTTCTCTCCTGGACTATACTGTGTGATGTCCTCATCTTCTACTTTCCAGTCTGGAGACAAAGTGAGACAATCCTCGGAGGTTTTCCCCATCTCCCGGCCATGGACTAAAATACAAAGAGGATTACTAGACAGGAGCTGATTGGTTCCCCCAAACCAGGACTCCGCCCACATCAGGCAACTTGGTCTCTGAGGAGCTTACAATTCCACCCTCAAGGGAACTAGGAAATGGCTCCTCTGATCTCCTACCAGGTCATTTCTTTATTCATGGACCTTAGTCAGAGAGTGAGGAAACAACCAGAACTGTCTTTTATAGGAGGGACAGTGATGAGGGGATTATAGGACGAGGGTCCCCCCCCCCTCTATCACTCATCGCCATCTTCCCAACACAAGAAGTACTGCACTTCCTTATTTAGTCCATGATTTAGTCATGAAGAACAGCGGGGCTGAGCCCCACCAGAGGTCAGAGGTCAGAGAGTGAGGATGGGGGGGGAGAACAACCAAGATGAAGACTGGACTGATCCTGAAGACCACCATCATTGGGGTATTGACTCCTCCCTCATTATCACTTTCTGTTTAAGGGTCCAAAGTTGGAGGATGTTATCACATTATTATCACCATGTAAAAGTCTGTGCTCCAATCACATCATCCGATATAAAATGTCCAAATGGTAGGAGATGGGTGTAACAAAAGAGAATCCATATTATGTGTATATATAGCAGTGGGGGGAGAGCAGATGTCAGGAGTATGTAATGTACAACATAGAGTATATAGTGCAGGGGTCAGGAGTATGTAATGTACAACATAGAGTATATAGTGCAGGGGTCAGGAGTATGTAATGTACAACATAGAGTATATAGTGCAGGGGTCAGGAGGATGTAATATACAACATAAAGTATATAGTGCAGGGGTCAGGAGTATGTAATATACAACATAAAGTATATAGTGCAGGGGTCAGGAGTATGTAATGTACAAAAGAGTATATAGTGCAGGGGTCAGGAGTATGTAATGTAATGTAAACATACAACATAGAGTATATAGTGCAGGGGTCAGGAGTATGTATAATGTACAACATAGAGTATATAGTGCAGGGGTCAGGAGTATGTAATGTACAACATAGAGTATATAGTGCAGGGGTCAGGAGTATGTAATGTACAACATAGAGTATATAGTGCAGGGGTCAGGAGTATGTAATGTACAACATAGAGTATATAGTGCAGGGGTCAGGAGTATGTAATGTACAACATAGAGTATATAGTGCAGGGGTCAGGAGTATGTAATGTACAACAGAGTATATAGTGCAGGGGTCAGGGAGTATGTAATGTACAACATAGAGTATATAGTGCAGGGGTCAGGAGTATGTAATGTACAACATAGAGTATATAGTGCAGGGGTCAGGAGTATGTAATGTACAACATAGAGTATATAGTGCAGGGGTCAGGAGTATGTAATGTACAACATAGAGTATATAGTGTAAGGGGTCAGGAGTATGTAATGTACAACATAGAGTATATAGTGCAGGGGTCAGGAGTATGTAATGTACAACATAGAGTATATAGTGCAGGGGTCAGGAGTATGTAATGTACAACATAGAGTATATAGTGCAGGGGTCAGGAGTATGTAATGTACAACATAGAGTATATAGTGCAGGGGTCAGGAATATGTAATGTACAACAGAGTATATAGTGCAGGGGTCAGGAGTATATAATGTACAACATAGAGTATATAGTGCAGGGGTCAGGAGTATGTAATGTACAACATAGAGTATATAGTGTAATGGTCAGGAGTATGTAATGTACAACATAGAGTATATAGTGCAGGGGTCAGGAGTATGTAATGTACAACATAGAGTATATAGTGCAGGGGGTCAGGAGTATGTAATGTACAACATAGAGTATATAGTGCAGGGGGTCAGGAGTATGTAATGTACAACAGAGTATATAGTGCAGGGGTCAGGACTATGTAATGTACAACATAGAGTATATAGTGTAATGGTCAGGAGTATGTAATGTACAACATAGAGTATATAGTGCAGGGGTCAGGGTATATAATGTACAACATAGAGTATATAGTGCAGGGGTCAGGAGTATGTAATGTACAACATAGAGTATATAGTGTAATGGTCAGGAGTATGTAATGTACAACATAGAGTATATAGTGCAGGGGTCAGGAGTATGTAATGTACAACATAGAGTATATAGTGCAGGGTCAGCCCCTAAGTTATGTAATGTACAACATAGAGTATATAGTGCAGGGGTCAGGAGTATGTAATGTACAACATAGAGTATATAGTGCAAGTGGGGTCAGGAATATGTAATGTACAACAGAGTATATAGTGCAGGGGTCAGGAGTATGTAATGGACAAATGTACAATATAGATATACAACATAGAGTATGTCTACACACCCCTGTTAAAATGTCAGGTTTCTGTGATGTAAAAAAAAATGAGACAAAGATAACTAATTTAAGAACTTTTTCACCTTTTATGTGACCTATAACTGTAACAACTCGGTTAAACAACAAACTGAAATCGCTTAGTTGGGGGAAGTAAAAAATAAAAAACTAAAATAATCTGGTTGCATAAGTGTACCACCCTTACACTTAATCCTTTGTTGAAGCCCCTTTTGATGTGATTCCAGCACTCAGTCTTTTTGGGGAGGAGTCTATCAGCACGGCACATCCTGACTTGGCAATATTTGCCCGCTCTTCCTTGCAAGAAACACTGCAAATCTGGTCAGATTTGCGTGTCATCTCCTGCGCACAGCCCTCTTCAGATCACCCCACAGATTGTCCATCGGATTCAGGGCTCTGGCGTGGGCCATTCCAATCTTCCATCTTCTTCTGGTGAAGCATTTCCTTCTGGATTTGGATGGATGCTTTGGGTGGTCGCAATGCTGAAAGGTGAAGCTCCTCTTTGTTCAGCTTTCTAGCAGAAGCTGGAAGGATTTTGTGCCGATATTGACTGGTATTTGGAACTGTTCATAATTCCCTCTACCTTGGCTAAGACCCCAGTTCCAGCTGAAGAAAAACAGCCCCAAAGCATGATGCTGCCACCCACCATGCTTCACAGTGGGTATGGTGTTCCTTTGGTGATGTGCAGTGTTTTTGTGCCAAACATATCTTTTGGAATTATGGCCAAAAAGTTCAACCTTGGTGTCATCAGACCAGAACACATCTCCCCACTTGCTTCTGGGAGACTTCAGATGTGTTTTTGTAGAATGTAGCGGGCTTTTGGATGGTTTTCTTCTAAGAAAAGGCTTCTGTCTTCCACTCTACCCATAGCCCAGACATATGAAGAACACGGAGATTGTTGTCACATGGACCACACAGCCAGGACTTGCCACATATTCCTGCAGCTCATTTCATGTTGCTGTAGGCCTCTTGGCCGCCTCCCCACACCAGTTTTCTTTCTCGTCTTTTTCATCCATTTTGGAGGGACGTCCAGTCTTGGTGATGTCACTGTTGGTGATGTCACTGTTTTGCCATATTCTCTCCACATGATGATGACTGTCTTCACTGTGTTCCATTGTACATCTAATGCCTTGGGAATTCTTTTGTACCCTTCTCCTGACTGATACCTTTTAACAAATGAGATCCCTCTGATGCTTTGGAAGCTCTCTGCAGACCATGGCTTTTTGCTGTAGGATGCGACTAAGAAAAATGTCAGGAAAGACAGACTAGAAAAGCTGATCTTTATTTGGGGTTATTCAGAAGGCACTTTAAATGATGGCGGGTGTGTCACTGACTCCTATTTTACCATGATTGTGATTGCTTAATTCTTAAACACAGCTACATCCCCAGTTATTAAAGAGGGTGTGCACGACTTATGCAACCACTATTATTTTAGTAATTTTTTTGTTTACTTCCCCCCTAAAAGATTTCTATTTATATTCACCTTGAGTTGTTCAGTTTATAGGTCACATTTAAAGGTGGAAATTTTTGAAATCATTTTTTATTTGTCTAATTTTTTTACTCACGAACCGACCAGGCTGGTAACTTTTTTATATCCCCTGTAGAGTAAAACTGAGGGGGTAGGGGTATGTAATTTTTACAACATGGAGTATAAGTGCGGGGTCAGGGGTATTAATGTAAAAATGGAGGGATATAGTGCAGGGGTCGGATATGTAATGTACAACATGGGATATATAGTGCAGGGGTCGGTATGTTTTGTACAAAGAGTATATAGTGAGGGGGAGGGGTATGTAAAGTACAAACTTTTGGTAATAGTGCAGGGGTCAGGGGTATGTAAAAGTACAAAAAAGTATATAGGCGGGGTCGGGATTGTAA